GGAGGAATCGCTGCTGAGGACAGGGTCCCTCCTGGCAATACTGCGCTTCACGCCAAGGACCCCCCCGTGCTGCTGGCAGAGAGCTGGGCTCTCCAACAGGGCACAGCGGGCAGCAGCAGATCAAAGTGCTGGGCACTGCCCTCCCGGCCGGGCGCGGGGACGCGGCCCTTTCTGATGGGGCTTTTCATCCCTATTAGCGCCGTGAAAGGCTGAGCCATGAGATCAGCTGCCAGGGGCTGCGCGGGGACAGCGCTGAGCCGAAAAGGTCAGGAGGGAGGAGGAGAAGAGAAAAGAGGCAGAGGCTTAAGGGACAGGGCTCAACAAAATCGCATTTACCGTGGTCACGGTCTTCAGACAAGCCTCCGAGACAAGGAACCGCGTGTTGTCTAAGGGCCATTATTTGGGTTTGACATGTCCAGAGCAGGGGCTTTGAAGTTCTGAGTCAGGCACGGCGAGAGCCTGCTCGTCCCCCACACCACTGCCACCTCCCGCAGGGATCCCAAAAGCGGGGCATCCCCCATTACCCCATCGCCCACAGACCTCCAGGACCCCTACGCCTAACCTCAGCTCCAGGACCTCCAGATTCAAGTTGGACCAGCTCCGGGACCCCCAAACTGGGGGCCAGCTCCAGACCCCCTAGACCCACCAGCCAGGGAGGAGGAGCCCATGCGCACAGCTCAGTTCCCACAGCGCGTCCCTGCAGCCATGTCGCAAGGGCAAGGAGGTTGCGCAGCTGCAGCCCATTTGGGTGAAGCATGAGGAAGTCGGTTAATTGGGGTTTTATCAGCTGAAGTTCACAGCTCTCATCACAGCATCAAACGGCACTTTTGCTTTCAACTTGATTTCACCCATCGAGTTGTGGGACAGGAGATGAGGAGCATATGAAAGCAGCCACATTCAAATGGGACCAGCAGGAACGCAGCAGAGCGCGTGGCTGGCGGGCACCCAGCACGGCCCCCCAGCAGCACTGCAGCTGTGCGCACAGGGGACAAGGAAGTACAGCAGTGTGTCCCAAAAAAGTTACAAAAAAAAAAAAAAAAAAGAATAAGAAAAGGAGGATTCTGGCATTTGGCAGTACACAGGTGACCCTCGTCTCCACATTAAAATTCAATCTAGAATAGAAATAGAAAAGTGCTGAGGAAGAAAGGCCCAGGGATGAGACCCACATCGCAGAGGCAGCAATGGCTGACAACAATAGCTCTTGCCAGGTTGGGTCTAATTGCATCTAAAAACAGAAATGCAAGACAAGGGGTTTAAGGGAACAGCCGGTGTAATGTATCTGGTTTTGCTGAATTCTGCTGCCAAAAAATGTTAGATTGGATTACAAACATTATTACATCAAAAATGGATTGAAGGGCTTAAAGACCAACAATCAACAGCAAACGCGTTTGGTTTGTGAAGCACACATCTTCTGCGGCCTCCCTTTACTTCAGCACTTCCAGCTAATGACCCTGCAGAGGACGGGCATCCAGCAGCTGCCTTCCCACTGCTCGCCCTGGGGGGGGACAGGTCAGGCGTTAGTCTGCCCAGGGTGCTCACAGGGGGACACGAAGGAGGCGCACCCAAAAACCAGAGAGATGCTTCTGGGCAGGGGATGAGGACACGCACAGAAGCGGAACAAATCACAGGGAACTGGAGCAGATAAGGCTGAAACGAGGTACGGCCAGGACTGAGACCCTGCAACAGACATCTCCGGGACCCACCAACACCTCTGCGACAGCACAACTCTGCAGTTCTCGCCTCCTATAGCGTTTTGCTCCTGTAAGCCCACAGAGCATCTGCTGGTTTGTTTGTAAGCGCTCAGAGCCATCCTCCCTCCCAGTACAGCTATGTACAAGTGACCGCTTCCTCACCTGCACGACCTCAATCCCCCCCTACACACAATGCAGCCTCACTGCTGACCCTGGGAAAGGCAGCAGCACCCACATCCATACATGGGTCTGAAGGGAAAACCCACCCCAACCCCTCCACTGACTGCCCAGCAGCCTGCCCAGGCTGGGCTTTGTGCTTGGGAGAGGAAGCCCCAGTGGAAAGGAAGCGAAAATCTGCTTTTGCTGGACTCACCTCCCCATAGAGCAAAGCAGGGATTGCACCGCAGAGCACCTCTCCCCTTCCCATCACCAGGTGCCGACCAGACCCCAAAAGCAGGGCACCAAACACACAAGAACCCAGGGGCTGCCCTGAGCCCACATCTGCCAAGGAGCAATAATGGAAGCAAAGCACCAAATACGCAAACCGTGCCCCATCCTGCAGCCCTGCCGAGCCTTTGTGCACGGCCCCGCCGCACAGCCAGGAGCTCCTGCATCTTTTTCTTTATGAAAAGGCTTAGGGAGAGGAATCACCTTCCCCTGTCCAGCCGCGGGAGAAAAGATGCTTTTAATGAAAGCCTCCGGCTGGCACTGAGGGGCTCTGCGCGAGGACTCAGAGAGGATGGGGAGAGGTTACGTTTGCTTTCAAAAGCCTTTTTCATCGCTAAAGCAGCCTAAGCCGAGGGCTGAGTGTCCGTCGGTGATAAAAGTGGCCCTAAACGAGGCTTGGCATATCCAACGTGACGCGGGGGAAAAGGGGGGCGGCCCTGAATGGCGGGGATGGGGCAGCGGGCGCTCGCAGCGGGGCTGGGACGGCACGGTCCTGCAGCCGCCCGTGTGCTGCATCCCCGGCTTAGGGAGGGCAGGAGAAAAGGAAGAAAAATCCTTTTGTGTGTCCGGGCAGGCTGGGGGAAAGGAGAATACAAAAAAAAAAAAGAAAAAAAAAGACAACACGTGGGTGGTCTGCTCAGGAGACTTTTGACTTTGTTTTTTTGGCTATTTTGTTTCTTGGCAGAAGGAGTTCCTGGGGCTGCTGGGCAGAGGCTATGGGCAGATCACAGGAGCATCCCCAGCCCACCCAGGGGCCAAAGAGCAGCGCACAGCGGCCGCCCGGCCCCCGCACAGCCAGGGCTCGCATCAAAGCACGGAGCAGTCAAGAGAAATTAAAGTCAGAAATGGTCGGAGCCGCGCGGGCAGGGGGCACCGGGGGGGGGGGGCACCGCAGCACCAGCGCCGCTCCTGGGGCGGGCAGTGGGAGTGTGACAGCCTCCAGATTCCCCCAGCGCTCGGATGGAAACCAGATTTCAGTGCAAACACAGCGAAAACTGCCGCATGTAGGACAAGGTTCGGTGTTCTGGTAGCGGATTAAAGATGCAGCTGCAGTCTTCTAACTCTACAATGAGAGAGGAAAACCACGGCGAGAAATAATAATTAAAAAAAGAGAGACTGCTTTCACACCAGCAGCCAGACAACACAAACACAAGCAGCTGAGGAGGTGGCACGGTGGGGACAGGTGTGCTGGCAGCCCAGGTGCACAGGGTTTGCAACCCATGCATTTATTCTCCCTGGGGCTTCTGTAGGCTCCAAGTTTGTTCTGGTGAATGCGTATGTCCTGGAAAGGTATTTCCAGCTGCAGAGGGTGGTGGGCTCGCTGCTGCTGCAAGAGAGCTGCCAGGGGTGCAGCTCGAGGTGCAATGCAGGACTCAGAGCAGCCCCACACGCAGAGCAGAAGCTGCCCAAGCACTTCCTGGTGTTTGCCCCAAACAAAAGGAAAACCTGCGGCAGTGCTTTCAGCCCCTCTCCCCACTTTCTGCCTGCTGCACAGAAATTTCACAGCTGAATTCAGACCTACTTCAGCCGCAGACCTGCAGGGGAGGCTGACCTGCCCTATCCCACAGCCACCATGCTGCAGCCAGCCCTGGGCACACACAGTGAGCAGGGGTGCATGCAGCAGGAGGAGCTCATTGCTGCACCAGGTCCTCACCCAGCTGCAGCTCCTTGGGACTGGGAGCAGGTGAGCAGAAGGGCCATTCTGGTGAGAAACTGCTGCAATCCCTTTTGCAGCATCCTGTGCTCATGCCAAGCATTATAGAAAGCTGAGCAAATGTATGCTAAGGATCCAAGGGTGGGCTGAAATCTGACCTGCAGGAGCCCATTTGGCTGTTTCCTCAGTCCCAGGCTTAGTGAAATTACGCTGCAGTGAAAATAAAGCAATTTCCAACACCAGATAGGGCAGCAGGGAGCTCTCAGGCTGGCAGCATCACCGCAGCACCTCCTGCCCCACAGCCTCAAGTTGGAGGATGCCTGTAGGATCCTGGCCAACCACTCTGACAGCAGAGAGCTCAGGCTAAAAATACGTCTCTGACCGATTCCAGTGCCCCAGCCTGCAGTCTCAGCTGACCCCTGTGCCAGGCTGCTTGTCGTGGAGCCTGCAGCACATGACAGTGAGTGCAGGGGGCAGCAGGGCTGCCGTGCCCTTTCCTGCTGCACTGTGGGCTCGCACGCGATGTGAGCAGCCAAGCAGAAATCCCAGGGCAAGGGGCAGAGGGTGAGTGAGGAGGCAGGCATTGCCCAGCACCGGGAGGGAGGGGTAAATGCAGCCCCAGCAACGAGCTCACAGCCACCATGGGTGCTGGAGATGCGCTGGTTGGTACCCACAGGTGCACCCTGTGCACATCATCTGTGTGCTCAGACGAAACTCAGCCTCCTTCCTTCTACAAAGCCATGTTACAGATGGAAACAACAACTACAGGCCAACGTGTAGGATTTTACAGCCTCTTAGATCATGACAAGCTCCAGGAGCAACTCCCCAGGCTGCTTCCTATGGCAGGCAGCAAGGATGGCCGAGACACTTTGCACATCGTCAGCATCCCAGCGCCCTACAGGACGACCCTGCAGCACTCCAGCCTCACAGCCCGGCTCCACAAACAAGCTCCAGCCACGAAACCTCTCCAGACACAGAAACCACTCCGGCTGCAGGCAGGTCTCACCCTGCTGGAGGGGCCGTCCCGGCTCCTGGCGCTGCCAGATAAAGGCCCAGGACCCCTCGGCCGGCACATTCCTCCCTTCTCCCATGCAGTGGGAAATATTTTCCGTGCGTGTCAGCACTGAGCAGCAGCCAAGTCCCAAACAGCGCCTGGTGACACTCCGCAGGCCCCTGCAGCCCCAGCGAGGAAGAGGAGGGCGACTCACATGTGATGAAGTAATCCTGCTGCCGCTTGAACTCCAGGCCCATGTAGTTGGGGCTGAACTCCTGAAACTTGATGGTGAAGCGGATCTCCTGCTCGGGCCGGTTGCATGTCACCAGCACGTTGGGGTCCATGACAGTGCTGCAGGCATCTGCCTGATCCTTTTTCACCAGGTACAGCTTGTAGTACTCGTAAGGCTTGGACGGCTCCGCCTTGGGGCAGATAATGTCCAGTTTGTCCCCAATCTCCGGGTAGATGACCAACCCTTTCCCACTCATGAATCTGAAAGAAGAGGAGAAGGTGAGATGTTAGCAACGCTCACACCCAGGCATTCCACCCCGTGCACAGCCTACAATTTATTTAGGACATAAATTCCTCCGCTCTCCCTCCACAAAGTGCTTTTTTTGTTGTTTGACACCAACACGAAGCTCTCCCGTTCCCAGCAGCAAGGCCAGAACCTTCCCACCGCTGCTGCCATCCCACAGAGCCGGGCTGGGCTCTGCCCATGCGGTGTGCCCCAAGGCAAGGCAGCCAGCTTCCTGCAGGGCCGGCTGTAATTAGGGAGCAGTGGGGAGGGATCCCTCCCCACCCCGCTCGCGGAGGAATTCCTGTCCTTACATGGCAGGGAGGGAAGCATCTCGCAGGGCAGCTCCTACCCACCCGGCCGCTGCCGCAGCTCAGCAGCATGCCCAGGAGCGTGGGAGGACCGGATGGAGAGGAGCGAGGAGGGAGGAAAGCTATTTGGGGCTGGAAGGCAGGGCAATGCGGAGGGAAGGAAGGCAATGTGCTGATAATTAACATTCAGATTTCATTATTGCAGAGCCATACTCTGAAGTAGAGGATTAGGGCAACGAGGAGGGAAGCAGCAGAGCATCTACTTTGATGTAGGCAACTTAATGCGTTCTGATGGAAGATAACATGGGAATGGATGTTCCTGCAAAGCTCTCTGCTGCAACTCCCTCACGTAATCTGTGCAAACCAGAGCACAGCTCCGCCGGGCTGCACACATCCACAGCTCCCCTCCTCCCTGCAGCCCCTGCCCCATGGCACGGCAACGGGGCTGCTGCCTCCTCCCAGCATCAGCGGCGCGGGCTGAAGTTCCAGGCACCAAGGAAACAGCATCAAACATACAGGACCAACCTGCTCTGTGGCTCCTGTGCAAGTCTTAGCAAGAAGCCGCGGAGCTGAAACCAGAGCTGCAGCAGCCCAGGCTGTGGGCCTCTCACTACACGAGATTTACACGCCAGGGAAGGCAGGCGGAGCCCAAGCCCACACACACCCCATGCCCTCGGCAAGGGCTCCTGAGTCGGGTTTCGGCTGCGGGATTGGGAGGGAAAGAAGCAGCAGGCATTGCCTGCACCTCACCATCAGCCCATGGGGCAACACCACGAGGCCAACCGGAGATAGCAGCTATGACTGCCCTCCATCCATGTTGCCTCAGTTGTGGAGCTGGATTTGGTATGCTGGCCGCACCATGCCGTCTGCCCCTCACATCCCTCCAAGGACAGCAGAACACAGTAACCCAAACAGTGCAAGCAGGTCACGAGGAATGGGGGCAATCTTGACCATCCCCAGTTGACCAGCTGCGTAGAAGCAGCTCTGACTCCTAGAAGCCACAACCTCCAGGACAAGGCTCTCCAGTAGCCCCAGAACAGAGCAGGAAGTTTCACCCCTCCGCAGCCAGGCTGCCGCAGGAAGGTGGAAGGAAGGCAGCCGGCGCTCCAGGTGAGCCACCAAGTAGGTCAGCTGGACCCCAGCCAGAGCATTACACGCGATAAAGGCTTCCCCCACCCATCGCCTGTGCCCTGATGCAATCCCAGGAGATGTTCAGTCAAAGATGCAAAGAAGCCCCTGCCCCTCCCTCCCCTTGCTCACCAACCCCACCCCATTCGAGGCCACAGACATGCAACACAAGTAAACACTTGCATGCTCACTCACAGGTTCCCACCCTGCGAGGCAGCTGGATCCCACATTCATTTCTCCGCAGTTGGGCTGAGTCAGACGCTTTCTGGCAAAGGGCTCCCGAGTGACTCAAATTCCCTCCTTCAGCCTCTGCCAGCTCCCTTCTGCCCAAAAGATGCCAAACAGGAAGCCGCAAACAAGTCGAGCAGATGTCTCGCGACTCCGGAGCCAGGGCAGAGGGCTCCCATCCACCTCCCAGCAGTGCCAGCACAGCCCGCATGCCATCCCCGCGGCTCCGGGTCGGGTCACGCCAATTTCTGAGCGCAGCAGGACGGGAAAACGTGGGGAGGGAGGGAGACGATAAAGGAACGCCGCTGAGAACATCCAAGCGCAGCTCCCTGTTGGCATACCCTAATCTCACAAAGCTCAGAAACGACCGTTGCATTTGTTTTCAAGGACAAAATCACAACCAATTTTCTTAACACGAACGCTCCATCTCAACTTCAGAAGCACACAGCTTCTGCCTGGGCATCAGCCCAGGAATATTTTCCAGGCTTTCTACACCAGCACCAAGAACCATTCACCGTCACCGCACGCAGCACTCTGTCACTGTCATCCCACGGCCCCACAGATGTTTTCTCCTCCGTTTCCCCCTTGGCGTGCTCCTCTTCTCTAAAAGCAGGGCTGCCTCCAAGTGAAAAGGCTCTTCAGCCTCAGCAGTGATAGGAAAGCCCTGAAAGTACCTTCAAAACAGCTCCTCGTTTCTCTGAACCCTTAATGACACATCACGGCTTTCCCCCTCACATTTGGAGGTGTTTTGCAAGCACTGGCTTGTGGCAGCTATCCTCCCATTGGGCAAAAAAGGTGAAGAGCACCATTCCTCACAAGAACAGCCAAGAGAAAAGCACCAAGCCTTTGGAGAGGTCACCCTTGGACATTATTAGAGCAAGTTCTGCACATGAGAAATTTTACTTTAAAAGGGTCTCTGAAGGCAAAATAAGGCTCAAACTCCTGGCACGAGGTGACTCATCCTTACAAGGACACATCTCCAAATTGATGTTAACTGGAAAGAATGAACAAATTACTTTTAAATTAAAAGGGAAACTCAGTGAGCCCTGAGAGCACATACTGTAGTTTTGGGGAGGATCTGCTGTATTCCTCATCCATACAGAGAATGATTTCCCTGCTTTACGGGGGGGGAGTGGAATGAAATTCAATTCAACCTTAAGGATGAAACTGTGACTGACATCTGCATAATAAAGCACTCGGGGATGCGGCTCGAGACATGCAGTGTATTAGACAACTTAAATTAGGATACGGCAGACTGGTGAAGCACTGAGAAGGAGGATGGCTGTTGCTCAAAGCAATAACCTACTTATGTCCCAGCCTCAGACAGCTACAGCCAGCACTGGGGATGAGGACCCCGCGGCAGGGATGGGATGGGAATGGAGCGGGCAGCACACAGCCTGCAGCACCTTCCCCAGCACCTTTGCCACCCAAAACCTCCAGCCAGCCCTGCTCTTCTGTGCAAATCACAGCATGATGGTTTCAAGGGCAGCAGAACCAGGCAGCCTTGTCACCCTCTGCCCCCCTCTGCTCTCCCAGCACCCCACAGGAACGCTCTCGCATCTTGCACTGGCTCCAGCACAAGCATGCGAGGTGCCCATCCTGCACACGCTGCATTTGCTGGGGTCAAACACGCAAGAAAGAAAGCAAAGCCGCTGCTGGGCTGGAGAAGCACGGGCTGCTGCACGCGCTGGGATGCTTCTTCCCCAAGGACCTCCCAAGTCTAAAGGCTGGAGCCGTTCAAGTCGCTACGAAACCAGCGGCAGGCACTTAAAGCCGATGCAAATCGGGAAGCGTGCTCTGCTCAGCTCAGCTGGGCCTCCTTTTTATCTGGAAATCTCAAGTGCTTCATGAGATCGAGCCTCGCAGCCGCAGGAGACAGCTGAAGGGCTTTGTCACCCCCGAGCGCAGCGCTGCTGCAGGCAGGCTGACGGCCACACGGTTGGCTCGAGCTCAGCTCCATCCGTCCCTGCAACCCAGCGCTTCTCACGGGGCGCACAGCCTCCCCACGTGCCCCCCTTTGGGACAAGGAGGACATTTCTGCTTCGATTCATGGAGTATTTGTAACCACCGCGAGTTAACAGCTCATGGAAAACATCTCCACATCCTTTCTTCCGGCGTCAGACGCGGTGGGAAAGATTAACTGCAGCTACTTGAGTCACTTTCATTCCCAGCGGGCTCACCACATCAGGGTGATGCTGGTGGCACTGGCATTGCCACCCACAGACCCAGTCGGGCTCCCAGTGCTGCATCCCGGGTGTGCAGCCCCGCGCACCGGCCGGCCCCACAGCCCCACAAATTCCTGGCCCTGCAGGTTCCTAGGGAGCTATCAGGTGGCAGCGTCCAATTTCCTCATTGTTTCGGGAGGTGTTTTCTGATGGGAAAGGTGAAAAGGGTATTTGTGAGCCTTGTAAACCGATTCCTCCGAGTTGGGTAAACAAGGGGAGCTCTGTTGGCAGCCAGCCCCTGCAAGCCGGAGATGCCTGAGCTGAGAAACCCAAGCGGGGGGCAGTCCCCCACCCAGCCAGGGACTCAGGGTCGCTGGGGGAGCCCCATACCCCAGTGTGGATGGAACCAAAGGGACAACCCCTGAGCCCCCAGCCAGCGGGAGCCAACAAAGCGACAAGGGTGCAACAAGTGGGACCAGCGCAGTGACACAGGTTCCGTGCTCCCCAGCTTGCACAGCGTCTGGTGTCAGGCACGGCTGCACTGGCATCGCAAAGGGGATTTAATTGGAGAGGAAAAGGACCAGAGTGATAAGGGATAATCCCTCAAAATATGCCGCTGGGTTACTCGGGGGGATTTCTGCGGCCTTTGTTGCGCCACGCTGCACTCAAGTCAGTTTACAGGACTCTGTACCCTCTGTACCCCAGAATGCTCCTCAAGCAAAGGAAGACACATCCTGCAGTGCCTGCTGCTCCTCACCCTGGTTCCACACTGAAGCATCACAGCTCCACCAGTCTGTGTCAGCACACGGGAAACTGGTAAATATGCACATAATTTAAAGAACGGGTTAACATGCTTTCAAACAACCTATCTCCCAGCCCAGGTACTTATTGTGCCATGAGAACTACAAAACCTCTGGGGCAGGCATCACATTTCCCTGTGTCTGAAGAACAAAACGTAGCTCTTACTGTATTTCAGGCTTTGCAGAAAACAGAACAACACGGAACAGCTACCCCCTCCTTGGATAAGATACTCCGAAGCATGAATTCTGACATACATACAAGGTGACACATGCTGAATGCTGTTTTCTTCAAAGAAACCCAGAAATAACCATCTTGCAAGGAGGACATGTACTCTTAGCAGCCAGGGCTGCAGGAAGGCCTGGCACAGTGACATGCTGCGAGCAGAGAGCAGCAAACAGCCATTTAGATGTGGCATTTACTGCTGTGCAAGAGCTACGGGTCCTGCTAGACCTTCAGGAGCTGAGGACCACGTCAGGAGAACCCACCCTCCTAACACAGCACATGGGCTTGCTCTGGAGGTTATTTGGGGGCTACACCATCCCCAGGGCTCCCGTAGGTCCCCGGGGCTCAGACATGTGCTCCAGGAAGCAGCCAGCAGTTCTGTAAGATGAAGTGGTTGAGGAAAAGAGCTGGAGACTCCATGGAAAAAGTCCCGAAAAGCATTCATGCAGCGTACAAAACACATGAGGGCTTCATTGGTGTCCAACCACAGCCAGAAGCAGAAGCCCTCTGCTGCCTGCCTTGTTCCCACTTGCTTTCCAGGAGCCCACCACCACCACCACGTCACAGCCGAGGAGCTCTCTGCCCAAGAAGAGCCCTCCTGCCCATACAGGCAGCCTCCAGCAGTCCACATCCATCCCAGAGAGGTGCAGGAGCAGCAGCACGGTGCTGGAACACCAATACATCCAGGTTCCTATCCAGCTACCAGGCCATGGTAGAAGCAGGAGGGTCCAGGTCCATACAACCTCATTTTTTCAATCTATAGTGCTAATGCAATCCAATTTCTTCTTTTTGACTCTCGCTAATTTCTTGGAACAGAGATATCCCACGGAAGGACATTCATTACAACTTGAGCAAAGCGGTTCCCTGCTCTCCTCCACCTCCCATCCGTGTCTGTCACCTTCCCATTTGTCGAGTTCTTCATCACTGCAAGGAAGGGTAAATAGGAGCACGTGATTCCCCATCCTCACACTTTCAGATCCCACTTCTTTCATGTGCTCTTCTATTCTTAGTCTCCGCTAAGTGCAGCCTTCGATCTCTTTTTTCCTGCTAATCTCTGTATAATTATTTCCACTGCCCTTCTGCAGACCTCTTCTATTTCTGCAGTATCCGCTCTGCGATGGGGCGACGAGAACACAGCACAGTGACTCAGGTAAGCCTCAAAGCAGCCTCGTGGGGTGGTCGCTCCTTTGGCCTTGGCTCCAAGCACGACCACAGAAAGTCAGTGCTTCTCGTTGGTCCTTCACGCCATCCCACCTCTGTGCTTCCTTCCACCACCTGCTCTCCATCCATCCTTCAGCCATGGAGCCCCAGGAGCAGCCTCCATCCTTAACCCTCACACCAGCAAGTTCTTGGGCAACACTCCCCACAGCCCGAGTCTTAGCAAAGAAGCTAGAAGCCATCTCAGCCCACCGGCTCACATCCTCCACCAACGCCAATGGCAGGTGGTTCCCACCATGGCACGAGGCTAACCAGCCCGGCCCGTTTCCTCCAGGCATTTAACCAGCTCCATCGCAATGCACCCCTGGTCTGTAATTCTCTGGGATCATTCCTAATACCTTTAATGATAAACACTACGCTGGCTCCCTGCCCGCCCCCCGACGCAGCAGCCGAATTAACGACGGATCTGCCTCGTTAGCGGTGCTGGGAATGACCCCTCCCGATGCCCCCCCTCCGTCCACCCCACTCGCGGCCCCTCAGCCTCCTTCAGCGGGGGGGGCAGGCATGGAGCATTTTAGTACTGCTGTCAGCACCCACGACCCCCCCAAAAAAGGGGCCATGCAAACAGATCCCCGTTCTTCCCTCCAGCACACAGCGGCTGCCTGCACAGCCTGCAGCTCTGCCTTCTCTGCAAACCACCCCACAGAGCCCCCCGCTCCCCACTCGACCCCGTTCCTCTCCCGGACGCACTTTAAGGCCCTTTTTTTTTTTTCTTTTTTTTCCACATTTCAGGTTTAATGAGGCCCATTCAACCCTCCCAAAGACAAAAGGCCCTTCTCGTTTCTAAACGGATTTACACGACGCATCAGTGAGGCAGAAACGGGTCGCCATGGCAACGAGGCCCAGCCGCCCCCCCTTCCCCCCTCCCCACACATGGCTGCCATTTTGTCCCCGCGCCGCACCCCAAACCCCCACTGCTTCCACAGGGGGAGCACGGGAAGAACGGGGGGAAATGAAATCAGCCATAAAGGCGATGCACGCTGAATGCACTGGAGAATGGAGATGCACAGCCCCTGGGGGCCCCCCCCCCCCCCCCCACCTCTGGGGTCCCTGCTCTGAGTGCCCCCCCAGAACACGATGTGGGAACCCCAGAACAGGATCCCACTGTTCCAGAGCCGCCCCGGCCACCTGCCAGGGCCACAACAGCCACAGCCCACAGCCATGGAGACCTCCAGGCCCCCCGAGGAGGAGGCCCCTTCTTAGATGAACTGAAATCTGCTTAAGTAAATGTTTCTCCAGCATATGTAATCCCTTGCAAGTTTTGCACTGATGACTGATTGGGGTTTATTATCAAACCGTAGTTAAAATGTAAGCAGAAGGCAAGTAAACACCGGCTGCGGGGGGAAAAATAAACCGGGAACACCTCAGCTCCCAGCAGGAGGCTGCAATGGCGGAGCTGGGGAAGCTCTGCCCTCAGCTCCCCCGAGTGTCCCTGCGGGGCGACAATGGCTGCAGTGCTGCTGGAGGACCACCCCACACCTCCCTTAGGGCTCCAGCACTGGAAGCTCCTGCTCCACACCTCACACCTGAGCTCCTTCCTACAAGCAGCGCAGATCCCATCGCGCAGTGCCAATACCTATCAGCTGTGATCCGGAACCACCACATCCCAAGGAACCAGCAGCCCATCCCTAAGCGAGGCTTTGCTCAGCCACTGCCATTGGGAAACGTCGACTGCAAGTGTCAAGCACAAGCTGGCCAAATAAGCTGCCGGTCTGCCTGGAGCACAGCAGGCATTGCTCACACCTCAGCAAGTGGATGAGGGAGCAGCCTCACAACAAACACTGATGGGAGCT